TATCAGACATAGCTCTCAACAACCCTTTCTATTGATATGACATTATAGTGTAGCCCTAACCATCAACTGTCCCCAAGTCATCTACCAAGAGTTGAAGAAACCAACTCCAAGTATCAATACTCTCAACCTCAACACAAGCCCAGGCAATTGGAAACATTTGGTTGTTTCCATCCCTCCCCACAGCCACAAGAAGTTGTCCACCAAATGGACCTTTTAAAAAACAACCATCTAAGCCAAAGAAAGGCCTACAACTTGCTAAGAAGCCTTTCTTTAGAGCAGCAAAGCATATATACACTCTTTCAAACACATTATTGTTTAGTTTGAATTTTATAGTATTTTCAGGGTTGGACCTTAGTATTTCTTGAGCATACCTATGAAACAATGAGTATTTTTCCTTGTATTCCCCTAAAATCAGTTTCTAAGCTTGTCTCCTGGCTTTTAAAGCCATCTGAAGTGTGATTTTTATACCCCATTCACTCCAAACAATGTCCACAATCTCTTGACACTTTAAGTAAGGGTTCACATTGAACTTGATATGATACTGTTTGGCAAACCAAGCTGACTTTATTTTGCCAAACTTAGCTAACCTACCACAATTATGTTGTGGCACAAGAGTCTTGACAGTCAAAGTCCCATTTCCACCTTCAAGTGATGCTCACAAATACCACTTACAATCTTTCCCTTTGCACCTAACTCCAATTTTTTCTGTCATTTTTAGTGTAATGAACATCTCTCTCTATGCTCACACAATAAGAAGTTATAGCTGGCCTAAGCTGTACAGCATCCTCAAATTCTTGACCCGAGTAGAAAGGAAATTGTACTTCTGTTTTGCCTCTTAGTGGTTTATTTAAATTGAACTTAGGTTTCACTATTTTTTTTTCTTATTAGGCTTAGGTATAAGAAAGCCACATTCTGCACCATCATCAGAAGGTGGGGGTGAATCTAAGTCAGAGTTTAAGTCCTCACCATCATCACTACTAAGGTCTAGATCAAGTTGACCTGATCTTACTGCAAGCCTATCTATCAAGTGACTCTAGTTCTTGACTAAATTGGTACTCACTCCTTACATCATCCCTAATTCTTGCCCTTGCATCCTTAACCTCTGCATCATCATCATCATTGTCATCCTCATCCCAATCAATATCATCCTCTAAGTGCAAGTAAGCTCTTTCAATGGGGTCTTAGAACTCTGACAAACATGCACCCCTCGGTCCCCTAGGTCCACTACATCTTCATCCACAACAATATTCTTGTTCCTAGAGATAGGACCCCTACCAGAACCTATGTTAAACCCTTGAACACCCTCATCATGCTCAGTAAACACATCAATGATCTTAAACTCAAACAACAAACTTTTGAATTTAGTAAAAGTGCAACCATCATAAGATAAGAACCTTACACCATTAACCAAATTCTTTAAAAGATCACAATAATTAAGCTTTATTACATTAGAATATCCTAATGAGTTGATTAATGACTTAAGAAATATACCATCAAAATCATCTCCCAAATCATTGAACACCTTCACTTACCCACCAGCATATGTTAGATTTTGTTCCTCATTTATCCACTTTCCATCATGATGTAGTATTAGGCATGTTAAAACTTCAATAGTCATATCTATCAAAGAGCACAACAACAACAATATTCACTATAATGTACAACATGCTTAAAAATATCAAGGAAAGTAAAGAAACAAAGTTATAATCAACACGATTTCATTCAAAATAATCCACTTTTCCATTTATTTCCAAAATAATTATCAAGTAACAATCAATCCCTACCACTAGATTAGTAGCCTAAACAAAGTTGTCAATGATGTGACAAAGTGTTACAAAAAACAACCTCACAATGTCACCCTATCCTTTGACAACAACATTGCTACCTAAGGGCTAAAAGCAAAAACTGATACAACCCATAATGTCATCAATAAGTACATCAAAATCATCCCCAAAACATACATACTACCCTAAACCTTCACAACCCCAAAAAACTACCCTATCCAACCCCAACAATCAACCTAGTTCTCCCCAAACAACATAGGGAACCCATCACAATAAGGAGATCAATCACCAGTGGTATAAGCCTCGAAACCCTTCCCTTCGTTGTTGATGATGTCTTCCATGACCCATGTCTCATAGCTGTGGGTTCTGTTGTAATGATGCCATGGGATAAAGGCACACTCAACAATCATTCTCCTCCAATTTTGACAGACCAACGATACTCTTATTGCCTCACACCAATTCGGTTTAGAGAAGACATGAAGCACCATTATTTGCTCCATGTCCAGAACAGGGTTGGATTCCCGCAGCCTGAACCTTATCATTCTCCTCCTCCCCCTACACACATTCGCTGTTGACTTTCTATCTTTTGGACTAAGTCTGGGAAAGACATGGACACCAAGTATATCATCCAACGACAACATAGGCTGAGCATCCCCAAGACCATCCATTTTCCCCTACAATCACCAAACACATACATTTTTTAGGGTCTTATAATCACACTCTGTTTTTTATGTCAAAACCCTAACCAACAACACCATTTCAAACAAATACACTATAATGAATTAAGTATCAAACATATAAACATAATCCAGACATAAAAACCCACATTAAACAACCACATTCAAATAATCAAACCATAATTCTAATAAACGAAAAAAAACCCCTAAAACCTAATTATTAACAGTTCAAAATTCGAACAAATTCGTCGAAAAAAACAACCACAATGTAAGCTAAAGATAGTTACCTCTGTTTCGTCGAAGAATCAAGTGCGAATTATGGCCTTGATCAACCCAGATTGCAAAGAAAAATCGAGAGAGAATAAGGGTTTGGAAGAAGAACAAAGTAAGAAGTGAAAAGGCGGGAGACGTAAATAACCTTTCACTCTCTCTCCTGCCTCAAAAAGAAGTTGCTTCCAATACCCCAGGCACACATGTGTCTTTTATTTTTAAGGCCGCCAATCAAATCAGTTAGAAAAATACTTTTAGGGTTTTATGTTTTTTTTAGGGGTCTATGTTTTTTTTTTATTTCCAACTTTCTAACTAACTAACTTGTTAACCAAGGGATTAAGTTATTTAACCCATCAAAGTTAAAAGTACACCGAAAATTGCATGTGAGGTCCCAAACGGTAAAACTTAGGTCCCAAAAGGTGAAAAAATTAAAAACTTAGACCCTACTATTGTACTTAACTCAATAATTTATAAATTAACAAATTGCGTAAAATTATATATATACTATATTGCACAATTTATGTACATTGATAGGTTACTCATAATTTTTATATTACCTTTATCATATTAAATAAATCGATCGATATTTTTTCATAATCATTCATCGCGCCATATAAGCAAATACATTTTTTTACACTTTATATTATATTTAAAAAATAAATGTCAGCTACGAATATTGATTCAAAATTTAAATTTATTTAAAAAAAACTAAGAAAATATCTTTTAATATTGAGAATTTCATCAAAAATATCCAATAGATTTGAAAAGATTTTTACTGTGTATTTTAATTTTATTAGATTCAAGTGTCATGTAAATAATATCACATACTAATTTTTTTTCCTAATAACAAAAAAAATTTCAATTTAATGAAAAAAATAAAAACTTTTAAAAATTGATTGATGATTTGAAATATTAATTTTCTAAAATGTAGTGTGGACGAATGAAATAATGATTTAAAATAAGGATTTTATCTAAATATTAAATGAGAAAATATTTTAATTTCACTGTGAGATTATTGTGGTTGAGCTAGTGGAAAGTGATGCAGATAGGTTGATCTCGGAATTCAAATATAAAATTGAAACTACTCACATTTTTTATCTCTTACTAGATGATGTATATGATCTTTCAATGTCTTTGTTAATTCCTCGATTTCTCATATAAAAAGTGCGGTTAATACCTTAGCTCGCTTAGTGACAAGGTGGGATAATAGAGGTTGCGATAAATATGTTTATCTTGGTCTTTTTCCCCAAGGTCTCATGACGACTTTGGTAGATATTGATCTATATTAATATAAATAGGCCGTTTTCCTCAAAAAAATAAATAAATAAAATAAAATAAAATTTAAAAATATTCAACGACTATGTAAATAATATCAACTAAAAAAATTTATCAGTTTTTCTAATAGCCATAAATATAAATATTCAAGAGATATTATTTCAACTATTTTTAAATTAAAGTGTCACTTTAAAACGGAAATATTACTGATGATTTGAAATTTATATTTTTTTTAAGAAATAAATATAACCTGGGTTTCTAGTTCAAATGAGAAAATGATTTTAAAATTAATTTATACTTTTCAATTATAAATTAAGGTGTCAATTAACTAAAAAATTTATTCTAATTTTGTCAAAAAATAATAATAAATTTTTTATTGTCAATAGAGATTTAATCAATTTTTTTTTTTTTAAAAAAAACCATGCATAGCACAGAGTTTAATCTAGTAATATACTAATATCTAATACAAATTTACAATCTAACATAATATGGAGTAATAGGTTATATGTCATTTTGTATTTGATCCACAATTGGACATGCATTGTTGTACAGCACATTTTTTTCCCTATTTTTTACATCTATTAAATTTTGTATTTTCTTCTTCATTTCTATTTCTTGCAAAAATAAAATACTCGTAAAATTTTAAAAATATATGAGTAATTTTAATACGTTTTACATTATCACAAATTACAAAGAAGTTTTCATTTTTTTTAACATCCTTGGTAAAGGTGGCTCCCATGGTGATAGCATTTCAAGAGTTTGCTACACTATACAGGAAGTCTGTATCCAACACCTCTGATTTGGATTTGCAAAGCCAAGCTAATCCAATCGAGTTATTGTTTCTCCTTCATCACAATTCGATTATGCTATGAGTTTGTTACCTGAGAATATTTACAAACAAACAAACAAACAAACAAAAAAATTAAAAAAAAATTTAAAAAATAAAAATAGAAAAAAATAAATAAATAAATAACCAACAATTTCAATCAGAAAGTAAACGCAGATGTATAACGGAGTACATTTACACTTTTGATTTCAAGGTTTATCATACATTAAAATCTTGTACTCCTACATTCAAATGATTCCAAGAGAACATAATAGTGAAACAAAATAATGTACTGATTCTCAAGGCCAAAGTCTGGTATAGGGAATCAGTAGCAAAATATCCACCAAATTTACATTAGGCTCCATCTAAAAATCAGTTTATCCAACTTAGCTGCATCATGCCAGTTAAAGGCTTATTTATGCACAGTACATATACAGCGTAATAGCGACAGAGCAGTCGAGTATACCCCATTGTAGACAGTTGAAGAATTATTTCCTATGGAAATCTACAGAACATCAATTTATAATAAATAAAACTCTGTTAAATTGCAGTTATAAGGTATATACCAAGCAACTCATGACTAGCCATAAGCAACTAATTTCCCATCTTCACAAATTCAGGCAGGCAATGGAGCTGTTAGGCAGGCCAGTGACAGACCATTTGCAGATGAAAAGGCCATATCCGCCTCTGATTTTCCACCATGAAAACCCATATAGCATAATTTGATGAAGCGAGCAACTTCTTCCAGGAAATTTACATTTGAACTGGGAGAGGAATGAATCACGGAAATGTAGCATTCCAAGCATGACTTGCTAGCCTGAATCAGTTGCCATATATTATTGACGTGCATTAGGATTCTGTGCGGGAAATGCTGATTTCAAATCTCAGCAGTTTGATGGATCTGCCACCAATGTCCAGAGATTGAAGAAATACTGCGTAGCATTTATCACAGATGATGACCATCCAGGAATCAATTAACTTCTTCCGAATATTAGTAGATGATTATCTACCAAACCCTTAAATATTACATATCATGGCTCATATTTACACAAGGTTCTCAGAGCAGTGTCAAAATCTACATAAACTACGGAGGTGTTATCCTTTGTACGCAATTTTCTAGCTTCATTTAATAAAAAGTTAGCTATCTTCTGTGCAGAGCCCTTCCTATCGCTGGAGTATCTCTCCTTTGCCTGTGTCCAACGAAAAATTTCAAGGTCATGATACATTAAGGTTTTTTTTTTTTTTTTTTTCAAATTATTGTATCTTATGGTCTCATATTCAAGAAGATTAGAAGTCATGATACTCATGAACAATATACCACCTGAAGAACAAACTGACTAGCCTTCTTTGCACTGATGACATCCCACAAACCGTCACTGTATAACAAAAGAATATGGTGAGATATCCAAAATTTAAGGTTAGTAGTTACAAGGTCTACAAATTTAGGGGCACCTGCAAATGCATGTAAAACTTTAACACATTTCTTTCACAAGTGATACAACATAGCTAAATGAAAAGACTTTCCACAGGCAACAGAGATCATCAATTATGTATTTGCAAATAAGACGGATTAAGTGCAATAGCCATTTGGCCCATTTGCGTTTTTAAGCATTTGCTCAATTTCTCCATGCGCAGAGTTTTAGGAGAAATTAGAGAAAGTATTAAAATATAGAGGTAGTGGGGTAGGTGGATAAAAATTGTAAAAAGCAAAAGTAGTTGAGAGAATTAGAATAGGGAGAAAATGAAATTAAGTAGATATGATTTATGTTGGGTTTACTAGTTGAGAGAAAATAATTTAATATTATAAAAGCTTCCAAATAAGGAAATGGAGCAAGTATTTAAAAACGGCTGAAAATGGAAAGTGGAGTAAGTATTTAAAAATGGAGGGAGTAACTTGCAAACGGTTCCCATCATATCTCTTCAGATAGTTTAGCAAATTCAACGGTTTTTAGTATAATGATAGGGAATTTTGGGACTATTGACTTTATATTGCAACAGTGGTATACATGCTGAATTTGCAAAAGGATGCAAAAGGAGAAGCTCCTGATCAAGTGCGGCAGATGGTAACGTTACCTTGCCAGCACTGCAAAGGCTTCACTTGCTTGACCAACACGAACAACTTGGCTTATATATGGCTCTGAACTAAATCGAGCATCCTGCTCCTTCAAAAATTTGTCACCAAGCATTCTCCCAAGATTAAGACCTGAAAATTGGCAAAAAAGATGTTATGAAATTAAATGATATGGATTTCAACAAAAAAATACATTTTATTTTAGTTTTAGTGTGTGGTTAGTAAAAGAATATAAGTCAACAAACAATAGACCATAAAGATGACAGACAACATAATATTATGTTTACCACACAGGCGTGTGTCCCCATCCTTTAATGGATTTCCTGATTCACTGATACGTTGCCTCTCAGAGTAGCTAGATATCCTATGGTCTTCAGTCATCTTGATCTGTCTCCCATCAATGCTGCCAAAGGATTGAGAACAAAACAATTAAACTAATTAATAAATTTTTAAAAAAAACATATTCAAGCAGAGCTGAGAAAAATCTAAATGATACAATAATATCCACCAGTAATCAATAACAATACGTAAAATAAACGCTCCAAAATAACCATCATCTTAAATCCAAAAAATTTAGCCGAGGCTTAGTTTGGTGCATTAGAAATTAATATTAAATAGGCACAATATCTTAAGACTACATGAGTGAGTAAACTCCATTTTTTTTTTCAGTTTACATGTATCTATTTCACCACATGATAACTTTCAATGCCTAGTATGACTTTGTAAATCAAAAACAGAGTTAAAGGGATGCATTACTTTGTGAGCTGAGTTTGACAAGGTTAAAAAGCAAGCAAACTAATAAAGGTTGTGATCAATGTGAAGGCAATTACAGATAGTATCAATTATCAAAGCTTAGCACCAAATAATAATTTCATAAAAATTCATATGGCACACAGATTTTTTTGGGTAAATTTACCACTAACAAAAGCAGAAGAGTAAACTTGATACTTTTCAGTATACATGTAGCTTTTTCACCATATGATAAAACACACTGCCAAGAATGACTTTGCAAAGCCAAAAAACAGAGGTAAAGTGATGCATTACTTTGTTAGCTGAGTTTGACAAGGTTGAAAACCAAACTTATAATGGCTGTTATCTATGTGACCAAAGCTAAGCATCATAACGAAACTGCATAAACACATACTTCGTGTGTGTGTTGTTTGTTGGGGGGGGGGGGATTGAAGGTGGGCAGCCATGTAAAGGCAAATACAGATGATATCAAAGCCAAGCACCATAAAAATATAGCATAAGCACATACTTCATGACGCAGGCTGAGTCTCCAACATTGGCACATTGAGCAAAGAAACTGTCATAACCATCACCCCAAACCAGAAGCACTGTTGCAGTACAACCCTGAAAGAACTACAGTCGTGAGCACTGAAGCCACTAATGAGTCATAGATGACAAATCTGGTGGATATAGGATACAAAAGTCAATAACATTAATATTTCAAGCCATGACAAGTGTGGAAGGCTTAAAATGCATACTTTATGATTTGCACAAAACCACACTAAGGTCAAGGAAGAGTAGTTCAGGCCTTAAAAGTCACATTGAGTCACAGTGTATGCCTACTGTATGTAAGTTTGATAAAATTAGCAGATCATAAGAAAAATAAGCTTGCATATGGTGGAATTTTCACAACTGCCTCTTCATTTAATATATTAGATGCTATACAAAACATTTCCAAGAAAACTAGTGGATACAGTCATCCAAAAAAAATATCAAAAATCTACAGCTTTTTTATGTCCAGTATTAGATTCTCAAATTGTCCTCTCAATGCTTAAATAGATTTTATGTTTATAGAAAAAACTTAATTGAACAAAAATTAGTAGACGGAGAAAGTGTGTCTGCAAGCATGTAAAAAAAACCCGTACAAAAATTTGATGCCTGAAAATAGTTCATATCCATGTTGAAGAAATGGCACAGAATAGAACCTCATAATAGTGATTTAAACAAGCTTCCGTTTGAAAAATTGCTTCCCTCAGGACATCTGATGCATCTTGCCGTGAGAAAATCTTCTCCCTTCTTAATGAGTCCAATAAAATAGTTGCTATCGTCTCAGGAAGTATTCTAGAAAACAAATAGTAAAATATAATAATTAAAAAAAAAGCCATAAAAGCATGGGTAGCATAATACATTGCATTAAAAGACGCTAATACTGAAGTAGTTGTCCCATACAAAGTTGTAAATTTCTTAAGCAGCAGGCATAGGCAGATGACAGCAGTTTCACACATGTCAAATATCAACATCACTAATAATACAGGCTTAATTTAATTGATTAAAAATTATATTTGAAAATTTACAATAAAAAATAACATTGATTTGGTTTTGAGAACTTTCCAAGATCTAATTTCATGAGATTTGGTTTTGAGAACTTTCCAAGATCTAATTTCATGAGAGATCAATCAACACAAGAAGGTATTAAGTTTAACAAGACTGAAAGATAAAAGAGGCATAGCAGCTACGCATTGTGTTTGTAATCTGAGTTAGGTGACTTAGGTCTATCCTATCTTAGTTAAAGCTAGGTTTATTTTTAGCAAGTGTAGTAGTACTGAATTAGAGAAAGATATGTTATGTCTTAACTGTTTAGAGTACTAGTTTGTCTTTCAAGTTTTAAGTTGGTTAATGTGTGCTAATTACTCATTGACTAAAGTAGTTAATCAATGTGTTCATAACCCATAATTTTTTTTTAAAAAAGGTTGTTTGATTAGTCATTGAGAAAACGTATTGTCACACCAAAGCATAGGCAATATTATCTGATATCCATCAATATTCAATCCAAAATTGCAGATATTGTATATCATACGTTTTCTCATCATATACACATATCAAATATATATCAATTTTTGTATCCGGTTATCCGATCTAAAACCAAATAATGAATTACAGAAGGAATAATAGCTACCCAATCAAAGAATAGTAAGTAACACATATAAAACAAGTGTGTGTTTGTATGAGTGTGTTTGGCAGACCTCAGTCAAATGGCAAAAATTGAAAATTTAACCAAAACCAACCTGAAGCAGTAGTTAAAAGTTCGAAAGAAGATGGCTGAAATGCCAGAAGTGAGTTGGGAAAAACTAGCTTAAATTTCAGAAGTGAGCACAACCACAAAGAAAAAGCAAGAAAGAAACTAGAGCAGAGTCTGGCAGGTGGTTTAAGCAGTGAGGCTACCACACTGTTTTGAGGCTTTTGTCCAGGCAGGTGGTTTGTATAGTCTGTTTGGAAGTCTGGATATGCGAGGAAAAGTAAATGAAGGCTTGTATATTTACTTAGGGGTAAAGTTTGGGAGCTTAATAATTCTTGAGTGAATGCCCAAGTGCACTAGATGGCAAATGATGGGAAGTTAATGTTATGTGTGGATTTCCTAAAGTTCCCTTTAAAGGATTACAATGTTATTTATGTATCCATTGTAGGTTTATCTACAAAGGTCATTACGAAAATTATGGAAAGATAAGGTCAAGTTATTTTTGTACAGAAAAAGGTAAAAGGAAGAAACCCAAATAGAAGATTGCTAAAAGTAGCTAAGTTTGCAACTGAGGTAATTATGGAATAGGAAGCAAGACTGCATGAGCTATGAGGTGGCTAATGTGAAGAGCGAAGTGTTATCATCTCTTGCACTTGAAAAGATAACCAAATGTTTAGCTACATGAGGATTAGTCCGTAACCAAGTTTAAGGGTTATTAGTGAGGTAATAACTCTTGTAATTCAAGATTTTGTTTAGTTTTAGCATTTAAAGATCAGAATTGTTTGTGAGATTGTGTTTGTATTTTACTCAAAAAAGTAAAAACCCTTATAGTATACTTGAAAGCAGAAAAGTTAGAGAAAATAAAGGTGTCCCAAGCTGAAAAATTAGCTGATTATAAAAAAACTAATACTTCCTCCATTCAAGTAGTATTGCACCATGGGAGGAGGGCACAATAATTTTGATAGTGGGAAAAAGGAAGAGAACAAAAGGAAAAAACAAATACAAAATTGTCCATGTGATTGTAAGCATAAACTACAGAAACAAATGTTAACAAGTAAGCTTGTATTGGGTAATTTAAGCTAGACGGATTTGTAAGTTACAGAAAATAAACTAATACTTCCTCCATTTAAGTAAGGGCATAAAGGTAAGTGGTGCAATTATAATATAACGGAGGAAGTATTATAATCACAACCTTAAATACAAGCTGGTTTGAAAGGGGTGATTAAATTAACTAAAATTTAAGACAGCTGAGATGCTTGACAAACAGGACTAAAATTGATAAATTAGCAAAAACTAGTAATTAGGTCACTTAATGACATGATAAGTGCATGCCAAATAAAGCAGCTCAAGTCCACTCCAAAGAAAGCAGCTCAAGTGCATGCCAAACAAAACAGCTCAAGTGCATGTCAAACGAAGCAGCTTAGGTCCTTGCCAAACACAGCAGCTAAATTAACTTGCAAATTCATCTAGCTTAAATTTAAGATAGCTTGATAAAACAGGACTTAATTGAATTTAAAATAAATAAATAAATAACTAAATAACAAGAAGATAAAAAACAAGGAAAAAAAAGAAGCTATAACCAGTGATTAGGTCACTGGGTGACATTATAAGTGCATGCAATACAAAGCAGTTCAAGCGCATGTCAAACAAAGCAGCTCAAGCGCATGTCAAACAAAGCAGCTCAAGTGCATGCTAAATGAAGCAGCTCAAGTGCATTCAAAATGAAGCAGCTCAAGTGCATGCCAAATGAAGCAGCTTTAGTGCTTGCCAAATACAGGAGCTAAATTAACTTAACAATTCATTAAACTACCAATTTCAGCTAAACATGTCATATTTAATCAAGCTTGCAAACATTTCAGGTTAGCTAATATTTCCTTCCAACTAATCGTTTTAGTAACCTTAATATTTCAACTATGCAAAACAAGCAAAAACTAGCTAAATTTTCTTTTCAGCTAAATTTAAAAGCATTTCAACTAGCTTAACAATTTACATAACAGCGTAGCACTAGCACATCAAATTCAGCTCATTTCACCTCGTTTTTAGCTAGATAATCACTACAGGTAATGTAAGTAAATTCTCAAAATCAACAACTCTATAACATTTATGATTTATCCCCCTTTTTAAACAGCCTTCTCAGATTCCAGCCAATTTTACCAAATACACACTATCAACGAATATTTAAATTTCAATTACCGATTGCCAACTTAGCATCTTCAGCTAGCTTACCAAACAGAGTCTAACAGTAATTTTAAGTAGCTTCTGTGACTGATGGTTAAGATTTCCAAAGAATTGACCATGTTTAATATGATCCTTATACATGATTGTAATATAGACCTTACCAATAATTTCAATCCAGCTCCCAGATAATAAAGAAAAACTTTAAATGAAAGGCAAATGTACTAACTTGCTTGCTGAGAGAGCTGCAGCTGCTCCACCATGTCCATCACATATACCAAAAAGTCCAAACTGTATAAAAAATTAAAATAAAAATCTGATTACATTGATTATAAAAACTCAGAGTAGAAATGAGTCATATGACCATGACCAGCAATATTTATGCACCTGTTCTGCCCCAGGAAGTGGCCATTGATAATAGCAGACATCTTCCATCGGAAGTCGTTTTCCTCCACGCCGGGTAGACATGGGGTCTGATGCAATACCTACTCCAACTGGGTTCTCTGATTGAGTCAGGGGTGTAATTTGCACCTGCCACAAGGAACAAGACACTAGAGACTTTAAAAAAAGTGCCATTGATTTGTCATTTTCCCATCAAAAACAGATTTCATCCTTTAAAGCAACTTTAAAATTCAGCAGCTTATCAAAAAAAACACAAAGGGGTATGTATAGAGCAAGTGATTTTCAGTGGAAGTAATTGGCATATTGCTTAAATCACTCCAAATAATAGACAAATACTAACAAGACTTGAGATCTACTAAATATATATAGCAAAAAAGCACAATAAGATACCTCCAAGTGCATTTTAAAAGAAGCAAAAAAAAAAAAGTGTCTAAATATAAGAGATATATAGAAACACAGTGATGGAGCATAATATAATTTCAAACAGGAAATATATGAAAACATGGAGTGCCAATTGGATATAATAACTCTCATAAAGCAGGGAAGCATGAGCAACCAAGTCACAGGGCCACTTAAGAAAAAAAGCTGTTTTAAGGACGTTATTTTTTACTTTGCTTGTCCTAAGGCTTCTATGGATTGCACTTATAAAGTTATACACTCCATACCACAAGCAACAAGAGTATAATTAGTGAATAACTTCTGTTTGTTTCGTACTGTTGACAACTTTTAAAATGACAATGCTAACAAAACTAGAAAAATCGAACTTAGCCATTTATAAACCAATAACTCATTTCAACAGACTATCAATTACGAAATTTATTTGCAATTTTACTTCATTACATGAAAAGCATTATGCTCATGGATGTTGGTTTTATCATGTTTTCCTTTTTCTTTACAATCTGCCACCTTCATATAAGACTATGAAGCATGCACAATGTCGCATACAAGGATATGAATAGAACCAACAAAATAACTATTGCTACGGTTTTGATGTATTTACCAAAGACATGATTACCATATCACAACTGTAGAACTCACACTTATCTGGGAAGTGGTACCAAGAGTGATTACATCGCCACCAACAAGCTCCTTTGGCTCACCCCAAGTTCTGCTTCCAAAGTCAGGATGATGTACAGCCTTTGTATTTAGAAGAGTTCCATTAAGACTACCCAAGTCCACTAGCTCCCATTTCAATTTCTGTAAGAACAAGCCAACAATAATTTACCCCTAAAGGAAACAAATAAAAGCAGTGCAAATGGAGGGGTAGTAAAGTCCTGTTCTTATAAAAGGAAAGAAAATTACATTAGAATTCCAGTTTATCATAGCATGCTTTCCAGAAACCTCTGAATCCTTCAGCAGCACATCACTTGGCGGGACCCTTCCGAGAGTAAGTGGAAGCTTAGATGCATCAGTAGACCATACTGAACATCGAAGCCCACATGCAGGGCCAGTGATAACTTCAAGCGAGAGGCAGCTTCCTACACCACTAACAGGAAGATATAATGATATGCATTACAGCTTCAATAAATATAATTATTTTCTAATAATTCCTAGTCTTCTTAGACGTGTATAACTGGTATAAGGAACTAAGTACCTTGATCTCTGGTAAAACTATGCAACTTGACATCTTCTGGCTTAAACCTCGAGTCATGATTCGGGTCTTCCTTTACATTGCATTTCTGCTCTTCAGGATTATGGCTAGTCAGCAAGGGACGCCTTAATGTTTGACCAACTACAAGGTCTTCTGCCTGATCACCTATGTCTAACACTAAACTACCACCTGGAAGATGGGAAAGTTCTAAGTATTAGCTCCAGTAAATTGAAGTACGTAATTAATTAAGAAGCATATAGGTTTGCAAATAAATGCAAAATCTCTATCACAATTTTCAATACAGGAGAAACATTTTCATGAAAGGTAGATGCTAACCATGTAGGTGATCTATCTAGATCAATACATAATATATTAATATGAGTGATACTTTAGGAACCTGAATTACTGGTCAATTTCAAATGAGTAGTACTTAAAGCATCACAAGTGTCCCTAACATGACATATCAAAATGAAAATTTTAGCGAAAGATACTAATACCAAAAGAACAAGTTTTTATTAGATGATTGCAATCCTGAGTAAGGAAAAAACCATCAATGGATATCCTCTTGTTGTACCTTCCAAGTTTCAAATGCTTCAAATACAGACGTGCACCAATACTATAAATTTTACTCAATCAACCAATAGAAAGATGTGCACCAACAAAATGTACTTCAAATTCAAGAAAAATGAAATTTTGCAGGCTGATAGAAACATGACTTTACATCAAGCAAAAATCTGTACGCTAACATAATACTCAAATCGACAAATAAAAATTAAATGTTTGAAGATGAAGAGGAAACCAATCAGCTTCTAATCTTCTATAACATTACTATTAGACATACCAAAGCAAAAAGAGTTATTTGACAGGATGAACAAGAAAAGTAGCATGCCTTGTGTCAAGTGAGGTACAGGAGGAGGAAGCCTCTGTTTGTAAGTAAGGCTATGTGATCCAGGTGAGCTATAATTTCCTTCAGTTTGCAAATGTGAACCCTCTGGGGTGTGAAAATTCAATGGTTCATTTCTTGGGCTTGGGAGCTGATCAGAATCTTCTTGCACCAAAGGCCTCTCTTCATCAACCTATGCATGATACCAAAAAAAAATGTATAAGTCAACAATTAACAACAATCAAAAACCAAATTTAACTGGATAATTATGATATGTGTCATTAGTAATAAACAATAGCTATGCAGCACAGGTATGGGTGGGCTTAACAAACTTGGAGGCTTGAAGCTAAATTAGAGTACAAGGTTTTATCAAGCCTATTTTGTTCAAAAATTTAGCTTCGTTTTTGTGTTCAGGAATATTGAAAAAAAAAAAAAAAAACCATTCCAAACTTGTTCAGGTTTCAAAAATGTAATCACAATATTTGTGATATTTCTTTATTCAAATAAAATTAAAATTAAAAAGAGCTATTACGAAGTTCAGAATGTTAAGGAAAGGAAGGCATCTAAATGAAAAAAGACCAAATAGATAAATAATGTACATAATTAATTAGCAATAAGTGTGGATGAGATAATATGGTGCTACTTTTTAGATAATTAATGTAGCACTATCTAGTATAAGCTTAAACAATTAACGAATCTATTTCAAGTATCGTTTCCGTAGATACCCGAAGACCGGTTTTCCGGAAAAAGTTAACGAGCAGGCTCCATGTTAGGAAAACCAACAATCTAAGGTATCTAGGAGCCATACATCATACATTTAAGGCATAGTTTTCATACAACAATCATTGACATAAAAATGACAATAAACTGGTGTTTTCATACTGCTCCTTTGACATCCCTGCAATAATTCTAGTTTTTATACCAAGAGCAAATTATAAAAACTTCATTCTTTCTTTAAAGCATTGAGTTTCAGAGGATTCTATATCTTTAATTAACAAAGGCTAGTCATCATAGATTTTAAAAACAAAAAAAAATCAATACCTTTTCCATTTATCCATTTGGAAATGTTAATTAAGCCATACCCAACACTTGTCTCTTCAGACTAGAAAATTGAAGACAAGAATGACATTTTCCAACAAATTTTTTTATCTACGAGACATAAATGGTGACATTATGCAGATTATTTTAAGTTCTAGCCTAAAAAAGGTATTAAAGGACTAAAGCGAGCTCAATTAATCACGCCGCCAACCCTAAATATTATCACACCTATTTACCTTATAGGTGCACTCTATTACCATATACATCTAGCTTTAAGATTAATACCTAGATAATAACGCCCAATCAGAACAAGCAATCAGCTCAGTAATTAAGAAACAGGCAGTGTGAAAGTGTAAATGAATTCTGGAAGTCGTTCTGCTAACACGATAACCTATGGCCTAAAAATCTAGAATCAACTTATCCATAATGATTATCCAATCCCCTCCCTCCAGATTCACGAATCATTTCACAGCTCTAAACCCATTTCAACACACATAAAAATTCCTCAAAAACATTCGAAAATCAACAAATATCATAAACAATCACCCAAAAACAAACAACAACAACAACAAAATCAAAACATCATCATCATCATTTAAAATCAACTAAACACGATCACCCTAACCTAATGCAACATCAAAATCAACCAAAAGCCACAAAAATCAAAATCAATCATAACCAAATGAACCCTAAAAAAACAAATTGAAATCAAATCAAAAGAGGAAAAGAGAGGAGAAAGTGACCTTGGAAGAAGAAGGTAATTGATGACGAAAAGAGCGAGAGAAGAATCGCCATGGTTTACAAGCAAGGAGGATAAGAAGGATGAGGAGAAAAAGCATAATGAAGATGAAGACGACAATGGAGGTAGCTAGCATCGCCATCGCCTACGGGTTCTCTCTAGAGAAAGAAAGTGAGAAGAAGGTGATGATGATAGGGGGATACTGCGAGAATACCGCATTGATGAAATCGTCGCTTTTAAATCATTTACATTTTTCAACGCTCTTAAAATACTTCATTTCTATACTACTCATACACACAGGATTACACTCTCTTTTCTTTACTTTATTTAATTGTTTGTTTGGAGTCTTGTTTATTTCTTACAAGTACATCGGAGGGAAGAGAGAGAAAAAGAGAGAGCAAGTATATATGTATACGAAGTATATATATAAACGATCTTATTGAGAGAGTGAGGGATAGCTCAAGTGGTTAGAGCTTCCTTTTCGGTTTCAGGAGATCTTGGGATCGATTCTCACCCCCGCCCTGTGTGGCTCTCTAAACACCAAAAAAAAAAACGATCTTATTGATTGTTGTTTCAACTAAGGTTTGAATTTTGTTGTTTTTTAAAATTGATATTCAATACCTGGATTAATTGTTGTGATGGACTACTGGTGTTGCCTTTTAGTTGTAGTAGTTATTTTGAACAATTTATTTAGACTTGATGTTAAACAATTTATGTTAATCATGACTATTTTTAAGATTTGTATTAACCTTTAGCATTAAACAAAATGTTATTTTTATAATTGCATTCTTATATTATCGTACTAATATATTAGCCGCTATAAATTAATGTATTATAATTCGAATTGGATCGGACGGGATTGTGAAAGATAATTCGGATCAGATTGGATTGAAAAAATGGAAACCGAATTATTTCGGATCAGATTGGATTTGGTCTAAAGCCAAACTAAAAATTGAACGAGCACCCCTATTCGTAAGTCAAACACAAAATAATAAAACCCCAACTTTTAAAAATGTAAACTAGTGTGTGACCTGTGCTTTGCCCCGGGCGATACTTTGAATAATTTCATTTTCATATTAGAAGTTTTAAAAGACTTATTATGGGTAAATTAGAATACAATGACAATAATAATTTATTTTGTATTTTTTTGGTTTTTATTCAACATTCTAATACATGTAAGTATTTATATGTAAATTTGGATTAATAAAGCATGAATTGATTCTAGCTAAGATGGTAATGCATTTTGTTTCCATTTAATGAAGTTTGCAGTTCAAATCTCTTTGTATGCATTTTTAATTAAGATGATGATGTGGCATGATGCTAAAGGCTGTTGAATGTGGATTAATAAAGCATGAATTGATTCTAGCTAAGATAGTAATGCATTTGGTTTCCATTCAATGAAGTTTGGGGTTCAAATCTCTTTGTATGCATTTTTAATTAAGATGATGATGTGGCATGATGCTAAAGGCTATTGAATGATGAGTGGTGCTATACAGATGTAAGAAAAAAAAACACGTGGTACATACACAATTTTATGAACGCCTTTAAATATATAGTATAGTATAGATTAGTTAAAGTGATATCATGCAAATAATTACTGATATCATTTAAACAATTAACTATATAGTAAATTAACTAGTTTTTGGCCCAGGCTATGCCCCAGGTCATTACATGTATATTATAAATGAGTTTTTATATTAAAAATTATGTGATTAAGTTAAAAAAAAAAAAAAGGAAAGATGGAAAAGAAAAATCCAACCTTTCAACTTTTTCTGTAGAAAAATCCAACCTTTAATTTATTCCTCAAAAATCTATCCTTTATACCCCTCCTTCTCCAACAGGTCCATTACCTTTTAAAACAGGTAAAATACCTACTTTTCTTAATCTATTCGGTTTCTTCCCTCCATTTATTACCTTTGCATGGATTAATACACCCATTAATTCCCCTGCTTCTTCCCTCTTTAAAAGCTCTGCCTCCCTCTCTATTTTCTTCATCTCTTTCCTTTCCATTTTAGGAAAATCGAATTCCTCTATTTTCTTTCACAAAAATGGCGAGTCATCTTTCAGTTGGGTCTGGACTCTAGGTCTAGGTCAAAGGGAAATTCCTCCCCGCAAAACTGGTATGCTACCACAACGAGTTTGCGCCATTGAGGACTGTTCGCTACAGTGGTCCAACGAAGGGGAAGCGTTTTTATGGCTGCTCGTACTGGCCTGTAAGTGTGTGGTTTGTCAAGTAATTTTATAATTTTTTTAACTTCATGTTCAATTTGGGTTTTTAATTTAATTAATTTGTAGGAGCAGAGAACTTGTGGGTTCTTCAAATGGGCAGACGAGGTTGATGATGTGCGTAAGCTGCAAAACATTGTTGTTGAGAAGGAGGAAACAATTTCTGATCTTGAGCATCAAGTGGACATATTGAAGCAAGTGATGGATGTGATGAGGGACAAAGTGAAGAAATTGAAGGCAAAAAAGGAGAAGTTGTTCGAGGAGGTTGAAGAGATGGGTATTGCTACTACTGAGAACATGTTCGACCTGAAATAGAATAACACTGACAAGAGGCTTATGCTGACTTTGGTGTTCTCTTGGGAATTTTTCACTCTAGTGCTCATGTTTAAGTAGTAGGAGTGGTGTAGTCTTTGGGGGGGGGGGGGGGAGTTTTAGTGGATGTATCTGATTTTGGGGTGGTTTAAGGTGTAGTTGTTGATGCTAACTTTTGTTGTTTATATGATGCAATTAGTAGTACTAGGTTGTTGCTTCTTTTGGTATGTCTGTAGTAGTTCTAGCAGAAAGTACTTGGCAAAAAAAAATTCTTTGTTTAATATGGTCAGTGTGGACCTATTAGGTGCTTATAATTGTATATTTTGGGCAAAAACAATTAATGGAATTAATGTATTTGTTGCTTTATTTGATTTTTGTTTTGTGTATGCAAATTTTGGAAGAAAAGAATGGTACAATGAAAACTAAACCATCATAGATTACTTTTGAAGTACAAGTACATCAAGAAATCCAAATCCTTACAATAATTACCACTTACTAATGAAATTGTCTCAAAAACAGATTACAACTACTACTCTTTCAATTAAAACTTATTAAACTAAAGTAATCTAGGAAGTTGAGCCTTGGGTGAAGTTTTATGATAAGGTTGTGGTTGTTACACTGCCATCCTTTGGGGTTGCACTTCCTTGAACCGGTACATCAAATGCAACAGAATCAATAAAAGTTAGTAAAATAGGCATTAATTTATTAAAAAAAGGAACAAATACAACAAACAACACAGACAGATTTTGCTTACATGAGATCTTCCATCTTGTGTAACAAAGAACCCAAAGCCCTCAGGAATCCTTTGTCCCTTTCCTCTTCCCCCCTGAACCTCTTCCATCCCTGCCACCTTTTCCACCCCTTCCCCTGCTATTGTCAACTGAAGTAGTTGTAGTTGGATCAACTCCACTGCCACCATCCTTTCTTGGCCTCCCCTCCCCCTTGTTGCTCCACTTCTGCTTGTTCCCCTACTTTATCCTCTGTTGCCTCCCTTGCCTATGACCCTGCCACCTCTACCAATCCTTGAAGGCTCTGCAGTAGCTGTGAGGTGGGAAGCTTGAGGATTATGTGCTAGTTGGGGAGCCTGAATTACAGGCTCTTTTCTAGTCCTACCCCTTGGTTTCTTTGCTGGGGGTTCTTGTGGCACAAATGTCCCTTTATTAGGGCAACTTCTCTTGTTATGCCCCTTGGAGTTACAAACACCACATTTCATTTCCATTCCATGTCTTTTTAACTTAGCTGGTTTCTTAGGGTCTTCAAAGGGTATTTCCTCCTATTTTTCCTATGTCTACCTAGCCCTATCTTGATTGGAGGGGGATCCACAAGTAAATCAGACATAGGCCAATGCCTCTCACCCTCTAAAGGTGGTATGAAGTTCTCATATGCTTTGAGGTATGTCTCTTTCTTGTAGCATTGATCCACATAATCCTCTGGATTCTTATGCAAAAAGAAAATGGCAGCTACAACATGGTATGACACACACATATTCCATTTCCTACATGTGCAGGTCATTTCTTCTAAATTAACAGAACAAGTATCTGTAGACACCCATTTGTGTCTCCCCAAAACCAAACCCAGTGATGAGTACCTTTCACGTCGAATCATAATTGAATGAAGTGAAAGTGTGGAAAGTTTAGTGTTGCGGATAGTTTTAATTCTTTTCTCTTCTCTCTGTTTTTGAAAACTTATTTTAAGAAAACAGTCAATCAAGTTTGGTTGGTCCATGATATGGGTCCAATAGTAGTGTAGTTGGATAGGGCTTGACAAGAGCTTTCCAACGATATATTATAAGCCCAATTCCGATGAATATTGAGGAAGTTATGGCCAATTTACCAAATTGGGCCCGGTATGATGCCATTTATGTTCTTTCTAATATTTATGATTGTTAGTATCATGTTAAGGCTAAAGATTTGATTTTTATTGCTTAGTGACATGCTAGGATTTGTTATTAATCTCGTTAGTATCTTGCCTAGGATCTTGCTATTTTTATTATGCTTTAACATGATTTATGATTATTTTTATAATTGTTTTGATTATGATTATAATTTTATTATTGCTATAATTATTATTATTATGATTAATATGATTGTTATTATGATGATTATTGTAATGATTATGATTATAATTATTATTTTGATTATTATTATGATTTTATTTATTATGTTGCTTGATTATTTATTTGTTATTGCTTGATCACACCTTTTATGCATGTTTAAAGGGAATTTGTACTTGTAATCTCCCTTAATAAGATAATTAATAATCTTGTTTAGGGTTAATATGATTATAATTCAAGTGATCTCCAATAATAGATTTATTTGTGCATTAAATTCAACCAACATAGATAATCTTGTTTAGGGTAAATCTATTGATTGTATGTTAATTAGAAAGCGCACATGAATACGATATGAATAAAGTAGAGGCCTATTATTAGGGCAGTTTTAATCTCTTTTAGGTTGGATTTGTACCTTCATCCCCGAACCCTTATTTGGTTCTAGACCTTATGGAGTTAACGATCTCTTGGATCGTTAAGGGGTGTAACCTTCACCCTGTGAACGGTTTACAAGTTCCTAAAACGTGTTGGCGAGTCTTTTGCTCTATCTTCTTCCCTTTTGGATGCCACCGTACTTTAGTGTATGATCACAGTGGGGTTCAAGCAAAGGGGATTAACGCTTGAAATATTCCCTACAATTTTTGGCGACTCTGCTGGGAAGGATTTCTATTTTAATTCCTAAATTTGTTTCGACAATGATTTAGAATGAGTGGATGAGACTCGAAATGTTCTAAGTATTTCATGTGCGTAATTTTGA